TCTGACTCTCCCCTGCAGCACAGAAGGACGTTTGCTTGTCGGAAATCRCAGTCTGTTCTTAACGAGGAGCTGGCTGGCTGGTCCAGCCTCGATCTCCCCTGCGTCCTCCTGCGWCTTCTTCATGTGCTGATTTCTTTCAGGGCTCTTACTCTTCATGTGGAACTTTGGCCAGAGTCAGCGTGAGGGATGGGAAAGTAGCCCAAACCCTTCCCCTTCTCACTTATATATAATCTGGGGGATGAGCTCAGTCCTGACGTTCTCAAGGACTGCCCACGTCATCTGGTTGTTGGTTCGTTCTTTCTTTTATTGACTACTTKTGAGCCGTGTCCTGTGTCAGCACTGGGGGGACTATGGTGAGCCTAGTAGTCTCAGTTCTCCAGGACACTGGGGTGCAGGTGATGGGAGCCATGGCCATCTTACCCAATTCTATTATGGGCAGAATCTGTGGGAACACAAGAGGGTAAGTGACTGAGTTGTCTCCTTTGGGAGTTTGCGATGGAAACTGAGGCATACAGATACTACAAGGGCCACAGGGTTCTGGGTGACTTGAGTAGACAGAGAGTCCTAAACTCCCGGGGCTGCCTTATAGGATATGAAGTAAGACACCAGCTAAAACAGGGTTTTTTGGTGACCCTCACATTCAGTGGCATTTCATTGAGTCTTAACCATCTGAAAGTGGGTGAGATTCTTAACGTTGTGGAAGACTCACAGGAATTAAGATTCAGAGGGAGCAGGCCCCTCCTGTYTCACCCCTTGGCGGGTGCTCGCTGAATGAAGTTGTGTCAGGAATACAGGTATCTGAGGGTCTCCCCCCATATGCCCGCCCCCAGGAGCTCAGAACAGAATGTGTGGGTCTGAGACACATCATGCTCATCCCCCTGAATCCCTGTGACCCTTCTTGAAGGGTCTGTGGACTGTGAAGAGATTATCCATTTAGGGAATGTGGCTGGTGGGGCAGTTAGATTCACTCGCATCACGGGGAACAGCTGTTTTTGGAGTTTATTAGAGCGTGGCTGGGAAGAGTTTCAGGAAACACGGAGCTTTCAGAAAAGTGTTTGAGGGAAGCTGAGTTACACTGTTATGTAATATTCTTTTTTTTTGGGGGGGGTCTATTTTCAACAAAAAACTTAGCACCTCCTTTCTTTTCCTTGGAGGTATGCTATGGAAAGGGTTGTTTCATTGAACCACCCCCTGTTCCGAAGAAGAGGGAAACTATTGAACCTATTTTAAAAAAAAACAAAAGTTTGGATTTAGGTGAATCTTAGAAATTTTTCATCAATTAAAAAAATTTTAATTTTTAATTTTACTTTTCTGGGTGCATTATGATTATACCTAATAGTGGCATCCATTGTGCCATATTTATACATGCACATCACATAACTTATCAGTCTCCTTCCCCAGTTTGTCATCCATTTAACTTTTCCATTTAGTCATCTGAAGACCTCAAGAAGATCCTTTGTAAGTCTACTTCCCAAAGTGAACCAYGAGGAGGGGACATTCCTTTGCTTCTGCACCATCCCATTTTGAGTAGCTATTTTGGGRTCATAAAGTACGCCATTGTCTAAGAGAGGATGGACTTGAAAATAAGTGAGCGACCGCCTGGTTTCACAGATGACAGAGTATCTTCRCTCTTGTCACTCTTTAGGAGTTTAGTGAATTTTCTGTAGGAGGACTGAATTTAACTTCTAATCTCCTCCATTTTACAAGCGAGAACTTGAGCTTCTGAGAGGTGAGTTGAGTTGGGCTGTGTGGCTCATGGTTGAGTCACGTTTGGAAGCCAGATTGGTTTGAATCTTAATACCACGTCACCCCGGGCCCTTGTAYCATGTTCTTTTTTTGTTGACTGAGTTGAGGGAAGGTGGATTCCCTTGCTCAAAGGATGTAGGAGGGAGGTGAAGACATCACTTCTGCAGATATAGATATTCTGCACCTAATTTACTTAATTAGATCTTAATAAGTGGAAATTTATCCTATACGTTAAAAACTGAGGCAGACTGGGTGGTGGTTAACCAGGTCTGTGTATTTTTAGGATACTCTGAAAGTGTGGCTAATACTCAGAGCCAGTGGATACAAGGACAGTTTCCAGGATGAGGTRGATTTTGAGCTGAGGGATGGAATGCCAGAATGGTTATTTCGGTATCCAGCCTGGGGAGTGTTTTCTCAGCCAGTTCCAGTCTTGTGATCGGAAACTCTCTGCCCATACAGGGCCTCATCTTACAATTGGGTTGTAAAACCAAGGGCCTGAGTAACTCTGTGGATTATATATCAGGTGGTGTCTGGGGCTGTGTGCTGGCCCAAGTCCAGAGTAGGTTATTCCATCCTGCGGAACTCTAGTTGACCAAATGACAAGCGCCTGGATGCAGAATTCCTCCCTTTGAGATAAATGCATGAAAACACGGGAATGTTTAGAATGGAGTCTGGACTTCCTGYCCAGGTGGAATAATTAATGCTTGTGGGTGTAGTGTTCCCCAACCAACCAAGGACTTGGGACTGAGCCTTTGCAGGAACTTGGAGGGACTGTTGGCAGCACCCTGCTGCCTGCCTTCTGTGATAGTCCACCTCTGTATAGTTCAGCTGGCAGAAAGTCTTTCCTTTTCTTGGGAACATCCATGGACTGGGTCTTCTCCCTCTCCTGGGACTGGCAGTTCTCCAGAGGTGTTTCAGTGTCTGAGGACTCTAGACATGGGCTGAGGTGAAAAATAAAGAAATTTAATAAGCTCCGAAACCCATTGCACAAGACWCAGTACTAAAGAAACCACCCCTGAGGTGGGGGAGCTTGGAGGTTTTAGGGATCAGAAGTTCACCTCTGGGTGCCATTTATTGAGAATTGTGGACAAATTGGAGTGTGCTCCTGACGGGTGGGCAGAGGATGATGGTGGGGTCTGGTCTAAAAGACAGGCATACACAATAAATAAGTGTTTTGGGAGAGATTTGCTCCCCTAAGGGATGGATGAATGTTCAAGGGTAGATTGGTAGAAGTTAGATAATTAGATAATGGTTTTTAGTCTAATAAGTGGAAGAATTTCCGCGTGCAGGCATGATGGAGGCCGTCAGTACCGAGGCCTTAGTGCGCCCCTCCATGGGTGGTGTTCAAGCGTAAAAAGTTGAACACAATATCTTTTATTTAATTTCTTTATTTTTAATTATTATTATTATTATTTTTTTATGTGGTGCTAAGGATCAAACCCAGTGCCTCAAGCATGCGAGGCAAGCACTCCACCGCTGAGCTACACCTCTAGCCCTGGTTCTGTATATTTTGTTGTTCTGGTTTTTTGTTTTGTTCAGGGAGGGGTGAGGAGAGAGAAGATGGCTAGCCACTGCCAAAGAGTTCCTTCTAACTCTCTCTGTCTCCAGTAGGCTGCCCTGGTGCGGGAACAGACTCTAGGACAGTGTACAGTTCTGCTCTTGTTTTATAAGACGCTTAGATCCCAACACAAAATGTAATAGCTTGAGAATTCAAAAGGCCCACACCATAGGCATCATAGAGTTCACCTGGGGGTCAATTGAAAACCCTTACTTATAGCATAATTTATACCTTAAGGTCTGCTYGTTTTTGAAGTCCTGTGTAAATGTACGCCGTGTGTTGGTAAGGGGTAGGAAATACTTTGCTGACATGTTCTTTGAATGATGGCTCAGTGGCAACATTTAAAGGCAGACAACCTGAGGGTGGTTCCCCCCCCCCACTTCCCCAATCCCTTTCTTTTTAATCCAGGTGTTGCCAAATCTAGAAAGCTGTCAGGGTGAGAAGCCAAAAGCGCCCATTAGTGAAACTATTAATTGTGTGATATTCATGTGTGCCTCAGKGTTTCTGTACCAGGGATCTGTTGAGATTTACTGGTGGCAAAGGACCGGGGCACTGGATGCAGTTTGACAAGCCASTTGCTCTCAGGTGATGGTCCTGGTGATGACCTTGGGATGTGGATTGATTGACCAGCGCTGCTTTCCTCCTGGGCGCTTCTGTTGAAATATTGCACATATTTGAGAGGGTGGGCGGGAGGGCACAAGCAGTGGTCACAGAAGCCCTCCCTATTCAGGCCCTGTGCCTCCCCCTTTACATTAATCCCCAGGAGCAATTATTCTCCCCCTTTTACGAAGGACTTTGAATTAATGATCTGATGTCTTTTCAACAAAGGAATATTGATATRTTAGTGTGTAGGACAGCAGGGAGTACTGGATTAGATCCTTTTCACATTGGTGTTAAGCCAGTGTGACATTTGTTTAGAAAGCTTATCCCTTTATGACCATAAGTTTCATGCATAATTCAAGGAGAATTAATTTTTGCAAAGATTTCTTTTAGTTCTCTAATCTTCAGTACTATAGAAAAATAAATGAAAGAGGGCCCCCCCATGTGATCAGGAATCAAGAGACCAAGTGCCCCATGAAGGTGTGGAACACTTCCTCAAGTGTGCCAGGCACTTGTGGTGGGTGTTGTAGAAAGACAGGTGGGGATGATGTGGTCCCTGCCATGAGGTTATCATTTCGGAGCTGAGTGTTAAAGTGACCTGACTGTACAGACTAAGAGCCCTGAAGATCAATGCCATAGGTCCAGGTCAGCTGGCACAGCTGACTTGGTAGGATGAATAATATGATAATAAAATAATCTTCCTCCTGCCACCATCTTGCATGTGATGATCTCATGTTGAGATGCTGTACCATTTCAGTTACGATGCCAATTGCTACACTGGAGCTTTTATTTTGCTTTATTTTCTTATAAACAACTTCTTGTGCTATGAAGACTTGATTATCCTTGAGCAAAGCATCCGTAGTAGACAGTGGGCCCTTGGTGAAAATTTCCTCTCATCTCTGAAGCCTTCCAGCTCTTCTGCCTGGCGTTGCCCTTCTGTGTAGCGAAAGCCACTGGCGTCTCAAAATTCCATATTCTGTCCTAGGAGTTATTTTCCGAGCAAAGCTGGAGCCTGAAGAACTTGCAGTAGAACCAGCAAGAGGTGCTCTGTTTGTGGATACTGCGTTCTTATACTATTTTGTGATCTCTCTTTTAGGTTTATTTTCTTGAAAAGGCTCCAGGCTTCGGCTTGGAAAATCAAACCGCCAAAATTGAGCCCAGTAGCTGGAGCGGCAGYGAGAGCCCTGCCGAAAACATGGAAAGGATGAGTGACTCTGCAGATAAGCCGATCGACAAYGATGCCGAAGGGGTCTGGAGCCCCGACATTGAGCAGAGCTTTCAGGAGGCCCTGGCTATCTATCCACCGTGTGGGAGGAGGAAAATCATCTTATCAGACGAAGGCAAAATGTATGGTAAGTGGCCTGGAACGTTCCTCCGAATTACTACCTGCTGTTGTGGTCGAGGAGAGATTTAACTGGCCTTTGARTGTGATCATCCATTGTACTGGGCTGAATGATCTTTGTAGAATTACAGTTTGTTATCCAGGTAACTCTCACCTGAAGAGGAGTGTCAGTATCGGACCACAGGAGAAGCGATCCCWGGGCTTTATCTTTCTGCGTGCCCAGTGGTGTTACGGTGGAAGCTCCTGAGKTCTGGGTGGGGACATAGGTAGTTGCAGTGGTCTATGTAGGCCTCTTCAGCTCAYTGGCTCAATGTAACCGTAGCGCTGGCACTTATCTCCTGGTAACTGGTGCCACAGAGGCATGGGGGTCTGCTGCCACCAAATCTCTTGAAACCTGCACCAGTTTCCCACAGGAAGAGCCAATATTCAAGATGGTTTATGTGAAATCTCTTCTTACAAAAGCCAACAGTTTTTTTTTTTAAATTATTATTATTATTTTTTAAACAATACTCTACAGGCCAGACACAAACACCTGCATGGGCCTGATCAGATCCTTGAACCACTTGTTTGCATCTCTGCTGCCAGTTTGCAGTTGGATGCCAGATGAGGCATTAACCCCCAGACCATTCTCGCCAGCCTTCCCTTCTCCTGGGGGATGCCTTGCAGTGTGTTCTGAGGGAAACTCTAGGAGTGTGAGGAAGGTGAGACTCTGTTAACCAGTTAGCTTAGGATGCTAAAAACAGCAGTAAGTACCCATCTATGAGGGTTGCTCGGCTGGGTTCGGGCACCGCCCCTCCTTCTATCAATGCTTCCAGCTGCAGATCAGTACTTTTTGGCTGCTTACCTTTGGAAAGCAGATGGAAGGTAGTTGCTTATACATTCTGCTTGTCTAATTGGGCACAGAGTTGACAGAGTTTGCTCTGTAGCCGAGTCTAAAGAGATGCAAACAAATAACCTAAAACTCACAGAGAACAAGCTCAGCAACGTTGCTATCAGAGGTTGTTAACTTATCATGGGAGTGATTTATTTCTAAATAATTTGAACTCTTTCCGGGACAGGGTGTTGTACTTTTACTCCTCTGTCAGGAGCTGTAGGAGGTGGCTGCTCTAGCCAGCACACACTGCTAGGAGAAGGCAGATGGTGGTACAGCTGCCACCAGCTGTGTCCCACCCCACTCTCCCCTCCAACTTGGATGATGTAATGGAAACAAGGACAGTTTTGCTTTCTGCAGCATTGGAGCCCCTTAGCCTGCCATGCACTGGGAGAGGGCGAGTCCAAACCTTCGGCGTTTGTTTTAAAGGCTCTCCTGATATCTCTCTTAGAGCAGCTCCTTCATTCATGTCTAGTGACCCGGAGTCGGGAAGGAATAGCTAACTCAGTTGCCGTGGGCAGAAGGTCAGGGCCTAGATGCTCTGTGGTATTTCTCTTCTGCTTTGCTTCTGCAGCCTGTTTGCTCCTGAGGGCTTGTCCTCCTACCTGAAGATGTCTCCCCCAGGCCTCTTAGGCAGAAAAAAAATACTTTAGTCTTCCAACCTTCTTTGAAGATGGCTTTATTATATACAGGGTGGCTTTGGGAGCTACCTRTACAGCTTGTTTCCCCAGAAATTGTTTTAATCTAAAATAATGGCATAAGATTGGAAGTCCTTGTTGGAATAACTACTTCATTTAATTTCTCACAAGGAATACCAAGAGAGCACTGCCCCATCTAGAAGGGGCTTCAGGGCCAAGGACACAATTCAAAGCCAAAGTTAATTTTTGTCAACTCCACTTTTGTTTTGTTCTCTGTTGAGATTTTACTTTTTAGATAGCAGCTCTGATATTCAATCAGTTGGCTGATAACTCAATCATAAAAATATTTTCATGTGAAAATAATTGTCAGGGCTCTTGTTAGTAATTTGGTCTCACAGATAGTAAGCTAGGAAAGCAATGAGAAACTTTGGACTTGTGTTGTTCTATCAGCAATGAATTTGAACAGATTAACCTTTGGTCTTGGTCTCATCCCCACATCTCCCGCAAAGACGGTAGAGTAGATGATATCCATGGAGTCTTTGATGGACTTTTCCATTTGGGAATGCTGGGATTTCAGGAYGTGTAAGTCAGCAAGGTGATCAGTTATTGCAAATGTAGTGCTGCTTGTAGGAATGTGTCTTTAGCACCCAGGGGACTCGGACTCAGTGCTTCCTTGGTGCACATATTCTTGACCTATGGATTCTTTTTCCTTAAGCCAATGATGTATTTACAGACTTTGGCCGTAATTGGTGACCAGCGTGATTTAAAATGAAGCAGTCCTTTTGAGGGAGCTGCATTGGGAATATAACTCATTTGGTCGTGGGTTTTTCATTAGGCAGAGTATGCAGCCMGTGGCGTTTTGTTTCTGGATTGGGGTACAAGAGATGGATTTGTTGCACTGGCCCTGTAGCCACCCCCACCTCCCTGGGGAGAAAATACCTCCACTCAACTCCCTTTCTTTGGTCCAACTGGAAGAACTGGAAAGGGAAACTTTGGAAGCTGGGCTATGGCAGATGGAGATGGGGCACCTTCAGAGGAGCCCTGCCTGGGACTCTGAGAATGGGACAGAGTTGATTCTCCACAGCAAGCGAGGCCTGGCCACCTGGCAATGGAGTCATGCAGGGTCAGAAGCGCCGTTCTTCGGCTTCTGTCCTGTTCCCCATTGTACATACATGAATCAGGACACAAACCAGATCAGGAAGCAGCAGTTCTTAAGGCCATACTCTTTATGACCTTACTCTTAAGAGCATACTTTTTCTCTAAGGGTTTTAAAAATGAAAACATTGAAAGTATTTGGGATTCCGTGCAGTGAAATCAAAATAATTTAATATCCTTTAGTGATGAAATACCGAGTATTTTTTCTTGAGGGGGTTGGTTGTTCCAATATTTCTGAGCTTTGTAGAGTGCTCTGTGATGTCACTAATCCTGAACCATTGGAGAAGCAAGGTCAAGTGATTTATTTTGGTAATGAAATTTCCTTCCTGGTTGGCAGTAGAGCAAATGCAATCTCGGAGAGAAAGAATGGAAAGTGCTGTTTATGATGAGGTTTCCTCCATTGGAGGGGATGGCTTGATTCTCTCTTGTTTCCTTGGTCTGCAGGGGAGCTGGGACTTTTGTCATTGGTCTCTATGTGGATAGATTGCTTCTGCCTTGGGCTCCCCAGTGTGTAGGCAGTTATTCTTGGATTATTAGGAGGGGGTGCGACCTTCTTTGACTTTGTTCCTAAGGGCACGCACACTCGTTCCCGTGAGCTTGCTTGCTTTCTCTGCRTCTGTTTTCCTTTGGCATTTCTTATTTTTACATAGTTGTGTTTTTTCCCCCTCCCCTGGTAGAGAGTGGGAGAGRAGATAGCAGGAGGACAAGGTGGGAGGGAAGTCAACAGACTTCTGTGAAATTGGATTTTGGGGGAGTAGACCATAGTTTAAAACAAGACACAACAAAGCAGTGAACCATGGGAATACCTAGACCTATTTCTTTTGTAATTGAATATACCAGTCTTGTAATGTGGCCAGATAGTCCCCAGAATCAAGCAAGGGGAAAGACAGAAACCAGCTTTTACTGATGGCTGTAGAGGCGGGCACGTGCAGTGCTTGACAGTTTGGACTTTGTAATTTCTGTGAATCTTGGCCCTGCACRTCTAGGTATTAGGCTTTGTGCAAGTTGCCTTACCTCTCACTGTCCAAATTTTCTCAGCTATAAAGGAGGGTTAACTAGAYCCTACTTCACGGGGATTGTCGCAAGAACTAAATGAACTAATTGTGATCTGGAATCTCCCTATGATGTTTAAACAGCATCTGGCGTACAGTGAAAGCTTAAGTGTTTACAAACTGAAAACAAAGAAGTGCTCTCTGCCTCTCTGTGTGCTAAGTCCTTTACATGTAATTTCCAACTGATGCTCATAACCATGCCCTGAGGTGGGTATTTTGGTCCCTACTTACTGATGAGGCAGATGGGGGTAACTGCCTTGCAGTTGGCTAGTATGGACGGTACAGCTAGAAGGTTTCAACTCTGGGCCCATTAATTCAACAAGTCAGTATTGAATACCAGCTGTACTTCAGCCCTGTGCTCTGGGTTGTCAGACACCAGTGAACCAGACAAACACAGACCCTGCCCTCATGGAGCTCTCACAAGTTCATTTGCAGTAAACTGACCTGAGGTCAGGGCTGTGTGCCAAAGATTTCTGGGAAGTCTGAAGGCTCTTTGAAGATGGTCACCTTCCACTTAGCCTTTTGAAGCCTGTTCTTGGCTACCAAAGTCCAGGACACCTGGCTCGATGCTGGCAGAAGAAAAGCATCTCAAATAACATGGCAGAGAGGGTTGCAGATCACAAGGCTGGCCCTGATGGTGTCCAGAAAGACATCTGGAAGGTTCTAGTGCCCTAGGATTATACAAGGAGTCCCGCCGGTGGGTCAATTGCTTGTCTGTATCTTTCTCCTTTTGTGAGCAAGTCCCTTTAGGGACCTTGCTCGCTTGGTACAGATCCAGGGAGGAACCCTTTCTTCCTGGGACATTAGGCCTTCTGGTCAGTCCTAGAGAACTGGGGTAGAACTGACCAGGGGCATTAATGAGAGCACTCACTAGCAAACACGAGCGTATGCTGGCTGATCAGCATGGCCAAGGAAGCTGCAGTTGTGGTCCCCAAGCTCCACCTGACCCAGGCAACACAGGACTGTCCTTTTGCAAGAGTGTACTTTTCTCTGTGTCTGTGGAGCCCCGAAGGCCCTGATGTGGAAGTGGGCATCAAACCCGACCRAGCCTATAGCGTCTACAGGCCTTGGAAAATGCCCCTAGGGGCCTGAGCTGTTCTTCCTAGTTCTCCATCTGACTTAGTGTGCCATCTTTGCTTTGGTTACCTCTCTTCTTTCTTACCTGTTGTTTCAAGTGGATTGGTTAGAAATGGGAAGCACCAAGGGCTGTGCCCCTCAAACAGGCTGGGAAGCTCTCTGAAGCAGGGCCCTGTCTATCTCCTGTAGGCTCTGTTTCAGGGTCTGGGGTGCAGAG